ATGTGTGCAACAATTTTAATTTCGCCTAAACGTTGGTTAAAGCTGCAAATTTTGCCACATAAGTATCTTCAACACTTTTTACAATATAAAATTGGTTTGTTTAGATTTCTTCCTTTTCCTTACATCTTATATGGTATTTTCTTCACTTATCTTATTTTTCCTATTTTTCTCGAATTTTCTTGTTTTTTGCTTAGTCAACTTTGTGGGTGTGCTACAGGCAATCTGCTGCTTTTCTTCGATTTATAACTGCTTCAGGGTGTTGCTTGGCCTTTTAACATGTTTACATTTGGTTTATTATTTTGCTATAAATCAAAGGTGCAATATTTCCTCTTTTCCCAGACTAGACTCCATAGTTAATCATACGTGCTCTTCATTTCTTTGTCTTGTAGCACAGCATTTTATGATTTTGACTTAATGAGCCCATAAAAGGTTAATTTATTATATTTTGTTCTTCGAAAATATGTTGTGGTGATTACGACTCTTTGAATAAATAGATCTATGCTATTCGCTATGGGTATAATAGAACAGCAGAGTTGTTTGGTTTTGGATGGAGCATGGATTTGTCATATTTTTGCAATTTTCCTTGCCGATAAGTTATGATAATTACTTGAGGGTTTTTTGTTTCCCACAGTTGTGATGTGATTCCGAAATAGTTAAGTAAATAAACATTTTTTTCGCAGTTATTATGTTGCAAATTAACAAAATGTTTAAAGTGTTTCTTAAATTTTATATAACCCTTTCTTAATTTTAAAAATTCAATATATCATCATATATACCGAAATATAAGCTGAGAGCTTTTGATGTCAGTCTATATGTCTTACTTTAGATAAAATTAATCGTAAGTCTTACAACAAAACGAAAAATTTGAGTACATCACAGTAATACCATGTTTCCACTGCAATCATTTAGACAGTTTTGCTCATTAAGACTGCTATTCATACAAAGAGCTTTCATATAAATGAGCTAATTATAAATAAATCAAGTCATTTGAGGCGAAGAATTTTGAATGTAACCCTTAAAAATAAATTGCCTACAAGGGAAATGATCAAAATTTGCAATATTTGAAATATATTTTATATGTAAAATGTAAACCAATAAACAGTTTCAGATGGATAAATCAGCTAATATCAATGGACTAAAGAAGATATTCAAATTTCCTTCATATGTCATAAACTTTATTCCTTCGTATTCATAGAGATTTTTCTGTTGAATCCATCACTCAGTATATATAGAGCGTATAGAGCATTTAAATTATTTAGTTCAAACATGAACTATAATTACTATTCAAATTGGAGTGTGATCCCCATAATTCAGTAGCACTGCTTAGAAGAATCCAAGCGCCTGGCGGAAGATTTGTTTCAATAAATGTAAATCCATTTATTTACAACGTTAAACAGTTTTTATTTAAATTCAGTTTAATTGTAGTTCTAGGATTTATTAATTATTTTATTTTATATTAATATTGTGTTAGTATTAATAATCAGTATTTATATACGGCATTACAATGGGCCAATAGGCCTAAATGGATCCACTGGGGATCACCGGTATAACCTAACCTAACCTAGTATTAATAAATAATTTATTTTATATGGATAGATATCTGTCGGGTATAATTTTTATTTTCCTACTATATTTAAAGGTAATCCTTTCCTTTCACAGTTTTTGTATATATTTTTGTATATTTTAACTGATATAAATTTTATACCATGCGTCTCTGTTTTGTCTTTATGGATGCATGGAGTTTCTTGAAAACTCTGTAAGTATACCAATCCGTTCATTTCTCTAGAGTTTACCGTCAGAGATTCCGCTGCATTATTTTAAGTTCATTATTATAAGATATCCACCTTTGTAGTTATTTGATTGATCCCAAAATTGATTTTTTTTTGAGATATGTATTCCTGTTTTAGGAGCCACCAATATAACCATAAATAATTAATTATTTTAAGCTTTTTTATTGCTTCCGATATAAGTTTGGAAATATTTTCAGTTTTTGCGAAAAAGGTTTTCCAAAAACTGCGACTTTACTTTTGCATGGCCTGAAAATCAGGTCTTACCATCAGTAGGTAAGGATAACTTACTTGAATTTCTGCTTGGCAGATGTCGCTCTAAGCTCGAAGGACTACATTGTTCTGTCAGTTTAAATGACAGATCAATGAAGTTATTACTAAGTATATATAAAATATATATGAAAAGTTTATTGCACTAAGTTCTAACCCACGAAAAATTTAATACTTGTTTACCATATTACATACAATTTAAATGGCCTCACTTCATATTTCCTTTTCAAAATTTTATGTTTAGAATATCTGATATATTTTATAGGAGCATATGTTTTTACCAACTATGTACCTAAATGACCTAAATGCAAAGGGAGAATCTTGATTAATGCTACGCTAATTTATTTCATTCTTATCTCGACTATTTCAAATTGGAACATGCATTCGAAACGGAAAGCAGCTACCGTGAAAAATTTAGTGCATTTGTCTTATAGATAAAATTAGTGCATTTATCTTATAGATAAAATGAAAATGAATTCAAATGTATGTAGTGTACAAATGAAAGCAAAAGTACTACAGCACTAAGTTTACTCCTTTGAAAGGCATAGTCGCTTCTATCTTTTAGCTACTGAATATTTGTGTCTGTGTGTATGCACTTTAATACAGAGAACTAGTGGGGTAACTAGTAGTAGGTAAATTTATCTGTTAAATACTCTAATTAAAAAAAATATAAAATATAGGCCAAGCCAACGCTTTAAGGAACATTAAGATAAGACGTCTCAAGACGCCTGCTAATTTGCTGCTCATTAAAAATTACGGAAATGATGTGTCAATTGCCAGTTTAATGGCTAAGGAAGGGACGGGGATACAAAGTAAAAGGAAAATAAAGCGCAGAACTAATAATTTTATTAATAAACAACAAAA